TTATGTGAATTCTTTCTTTCTTTCTTTCTTTCTTTCCATCTTTTCTCCTTCTTCCCTTCCTCCCTCCTTCCTTTCTTTTAAAGCATAATAATTTTAATGCTACCAAACATATTTCACATGGAGAAATGTATGGAAAGAAGCTTCTATGACCTTCATAATTTTCAGAATTGCAGAAAATGATGTTTTCTGTTTAGAATATTAAACCTTCATAGAAATATTATTTTCTGCACACAAAATGCAGATTTCTGTGTAAAATAATTATGTACCAATTTTGCCAAAAATAAGACCTTAACTGAGATGATTTATCAGAGTTTCTCAGTGCTCAAAAATGTGGTTTTTGCACCCACCCTTTTTTGAAATATTTTCTTATATTCTTTCTGATTACTTGTTTGAGGAAAGGTCATGCATTACTCTTCAAATATTTTTACTAGGAATTTCCTGTGCCTTTAGTTACACATAGAATCTCCACCCCCTACTCCCCCATTCATGAAATTCCAGTCAATTTCATCTTTATTTCTTCATTATTTTAATCCTTTTCTGAATACCTTTAAAAGCACAACACTGTATGGGAAAGTCTCCATAGACTCTTCCACACATGTATGTTTATGCTGTAATATACATCTAATGCTGTTCTTAAAGTCACAGAACCAATTTCAGAAAGCACAAGTAGAAAGAGTAATGTGTCTTCTTAAAATTTTGTTCTGACGCCCCCCCCACACACACACACGTTAATTTCATAAATCTGGAATCCTCATTGAAGCAGTTTTTTAGCTCTAGAAAAGACTGAAGGGAGGGGGGATGCCCAAAATTTCTGCCACAGTATATGGTATTTAGGCCAGTGTTTTATAATAGATATGGTCTAAACCCATATGATAAAGGTAAAGGTAGTCCCTTGACATTAATGTCTAGTTGTAACCAATTGTAGAGGGCAGCGCTCATCTCTGTTATTAAGTCGAAGAGTCAGTGTTGTCTGAGGACTGCTCTGGTGGTCATGTGGCCAGCATGACTGCATCAAATGCTGTTATCTTCCTACTGAGAAGTGGTACCTATTAATCTACTTGCATTTGCATGCTTTCAAACAGCTAGGTTAGCAGAAGCTGGGACTAGTGACGGGGGCTCAACCCATCATGCAGCACCCGGGCCTCAAATTGCCAGCCTTCAAATCTTCTGATTGTTAGAACTGGCATCTTAACCACTAAGCCACTACATCCCATATGATACAGCCACCTATTAAATCTAAGTAAGTATGAGTATGGAGAGTGCCCAGATGGGAAATCATTTCTGAACTGTTTTTCCTTGATTGAGTTCTTGGAAGTAGGTCAGTCTAAATTTGAACTAATTAATCAAATGAATGAAGAAATGATCCACAGGGGTAGGCAGCCTTTTCCCTTTAAGGGCTGAGGGACTTCAGCTCCCAGAGGCCTCAGCCATGTTGGCCAATAGTCCCATGTTGGCCAATAGTCCCATGTTGGCCAATAGCTCCTGGGATTCTGGGAGCTGAAGTCCCTCGGCCCTTAAAGGGGAAAGGTTGCCTACCCCTGCACTAAGGCAACATCATAATGTAGTGAGAAGATGGTGGACTGTTGTGGACTTTAATATCTAATGGTATGTGGTGAGGGAGAGACATATTTTAAATGCTTCCCCTGTGTCAAAAACTCCAACAGCACAAAATCAATACAGATGAAGGGAACTGGATTAGAACATTTATTACCAGGAGGGGGTTACACAGGGGAGTGTATCCTGATTAAATTTGAAGTGGTTCAACCCACTCTGTCATGGGCCAAGAGCTGCAAGACTGGGCCCTGGGGAAGAGTCCGATGAAAAGGCTGAGGAAAGGACCCAGGCAAATCTTCCAGATAGGGAACAACTTGCAGCTCTCCCTGTTGTAGAGCAGCTAGCCCTCCCTGCTGAAGAGCTCCAGCCAACTCATCCTGTGGAATGGTAGCCTCAGCCAGCAGGACAAGGGCAAGACTCTTTTGCTGATGAGACAGAGGACGCAGCTGAGGTCTTAAGTCCTCAATCAAGGAAAAGGAATAAGAGGATCCATCAAAAGATAGATCTAAGACACTCAGCCAGGCTGCAGGCTAAACAGCAAGCACTGATTAGAACCAGTTGGTGTCAGGCTATTTAATAGCTGAGTTTGCCTAAGGAGTTGCTGGAAGCAATTTGTCTATTTTCTGGCCAGCATTCCTGTTACCTATTTCTAGACACCTGCAGTCCTACTTCAGACCTCCTGGCTTCTTTGACCTTTGGACAATGTTGGCCTTGATTCCTGTTGCTTCCCTTGACTTGGACTGCTTTCTCTTAATGGACTCTCACAGGCAAGGGCACTTTCTATCTACTTATGTGTAGCTGCCTCTGCCTACATTATTAGTTGGTAGTTCTTCCCAGCCAGCCCGTGTGGGTGTTTGGTGAACCATGACATACTCTTCCCTCTGGGAGCATAACACTTTGCTTCATGAGAACTACACATTAGATGAAGGGAAGAGTTTACCAGCCAGGAGTTGCAAATGCATCTGCCTTGCCACAAAATGTAGGAAACTGGTGTAATGAGTTATACAGATATAGTAGCTACTTGATGACTTCAGTCACAGATGGGGAAAGAAGGTAGAGAGGAGACAGGCATAAGGCAAACCTGTTCAAGGCTGTTCCATGTGGTAATGCATGTGGTTGCAAAAACAACAAAAGGGTTGGTCTTGAAAAAAGGAGTAAAGGTGTTTATCAGTTATAACAAAGGAGAATTGAGCCTCCCATGAATTTGAAACAATGTATACTTCAGTCAAACTTAACATTTGCTTTTTAGTTCTGACAAGAAATGTCTTTAGAGTGGATCTATAGTTGCAGAACCAAGGTTTACTGAAGTTTTAACTACTGGAGAAGGAATTTCTGAACTTGGAGTCCTGCTAGATTTGAAATTACCCCTTGAAAGTTCCTCCCCCTTGTGTATCAAAATCTAACTGCTTCTGTTTCCTCCTCCCTTTTCTTTTCTCACTGTGAGTCATCTGTATCCACCAGCCATAGCAATGTTCCAGTCTACCCTCTTCCACATAAATTACTTAGAAATGTTGCAGTACTACAATAAAAATTAAATATTTTAGGCTATGCAAAAATATGGTTTTGGAAAGGGGCCCCACTTAGCTTAGACAACTTAGTAGACATTTCTTTTACCTCGCATCCAAATAAAAACTTCACTCAGAAAGTTTGAAATGTCTCCCCCCTGACTAAAGTGGTAAAATCAACAAAAGGTTATAGCCTTTTAAAAATTAATTGGATCAAAGAGCAAATTAATGTCAGGTGTGCATTGCAAGTAGCCCGTTAATGGAGAAAATGCCATATTTGTTGTTGCTGTTATTTCTTTGAATAATTGGATGGAAAATGGTATGCATAATTGCCTCTTCTAACAATATGGAGCATGGCAAATTGTGGACACATCCAATACAGTGGATTTTTGTGCTAAGGAAATATTTAAAGTCTTGGGTTTGTTTGTTTTAAAATCACTTTACTCTCCCCCATTCTCTTGGTGTTTCATTCCTTGTTTCAATTCTTCTAAAGTGGGCTCTTCTTGCTATGAAAGCTTTTCATATTATTCTAGTTCCCGCCACCACACCATAATTCATTGTATACAATTTTTCAGTATTAATAAAACCATTCAATATAAATAAAATTCCTGGAGTTCAGCTTCAACAAAAAATATAAAATTCAGTGAAATCCTTTTAACAAAACACCATGAAGAGTGAAGTGTCTGAGTTCAAACTTTACATTCTGCACAAGATCAAGACATAATGAGAGATTTTTTTTTTCTATCCTGTGCCTAGTAACAGGTTTTGCTTTCATATGGCCCTTGCTTCTTACTAGCACTGCTGCTTAGTTGAAGACACTGTTGCAAGCTGTCTGGTTTGTATCAGGCAATGTTTCTAACTTCTTCCTTGGTTAATGTTTTCAATATTAAATTCTTTTCTCTCCAAGATTTTCTGATCTTCTTTCTGATTTGCTCCTTCTCTTCCTTCCCATGAGCCATAGTTCTAAGAAAGCAGACTGTGATAATCACTGCTATATGCTACATGGTAGAAGAATGGCTGAAAAGATATTTCCCCCTCTGTAAGGTTTTTAACTGCTGCCTCCATGAGCTATGTATAGCCTTATATTTAAAACTGGAGGGAATTAAGGGAGCTAAAACTCACACAATCCATATATGACAGAGAACTAATGAGTGGAACACATTGCCAATTATGGCTTTAAAGTATTCCCTACTCAAAACAAGCTTACAGTTGAGAAAATGTATAGAAAAAGCATTCTATAATGCTAGCATAGAAATATTTAAACCATGATAGAAACCAGAAACCTGATGTTGCCCTACTGCAAAATGTGAACAAAGTAAGGCTGCTGTTATAATGCAGAATTAAGGCAGACACCACTTTAACTGTCATGGCTCCATTCTATGGTATCCTAGAATTTGTAGTTTGCTGTACTACTACAGAAGGCTAAATATCTCACAAAACTACAAATCCCAGAATTCCATAGTA